TACACAAAAAATAATTATAACAAATAAACAACTATATGATGCAAAATTTTTGCTAGTATATCAAACCAAAGACAAGCACTGATATAGGGTAGATGAGGAAAAAGTTTCATATAAAAATAAACTTTGAGTTTATCTTTTAATGACCTGTTTATTATTGTGATGGTTTTTATTTATTTTGAATCGTAAATCCAGTACTTCTAAAAATGCTGATATAGCAAAGCTTTTGTATGGTTAAGGAACTAGATCTAAACCAATGGTTTAGATCCATCAAAAGTCAACAATGCCTAGCACAATTTCTTTGAATTTAGAGATTATCAAAAGGATTCCGATGATGATTTTTCAGTTTCTGACTTTTCTGACAATCAAGCATCTAGCGACAATAAAGTGGAAATGACCGAGAATCAAATTCTAACCTCATCTTTGCACAATGAGCTGATGACTGAGAATGAGTCTTTAGCTTGAACTTCGCAGTATCAACCGAAAACCAAAAATGACAAAGTCGTTCTTGATAACAACAGATAATAACGCCTCTCCGTTTACTTTGTTCACAGTTAATTTAAGGCAATTTGAAAAACAGCTGTAATATCAAATATCCATTTTTAAAGATATTTTCTATTGAGAAAAAAAATCCTATTCGATTAACATATTTTAAAATTAATTTTTAGTTTATTAGTATTAAATACGCTTTATGAAAAATACATTGATATTTCAGGTAAGATTTGTTATATTTGATTGTAGTAAAAAGTAAAATAAAGAATCCATCATTTTAAAGATTTTAGGTGCTAAATATATGAGCGTTATGGTGTTCACTTTTAAATATTGTATATGCCCTGTATTATTTTCAAATGAACATTTATGCCTAATAATTCAAAATCATGTCTATTTCCATTAACTTATAGAAAAGGTCACTCACTAATTAATAAAAATAGTCAGATTTGCATTTGAATTTTGCATTGAGTTTTTTTCTTCCTATTATTAGACAAAATAAGTTTTAAATTGAGTTTCTAGGAGTTTTTACATCAAAGAATGTGGTCTTCAGCAATTTTACTGCTCTTTCAGCACAATATTATTAGGCTGGATGATTTCAATAATTGACAGTTTTATAGTCATTATTTAATACAAACTACTTTAAGTTGTTCTCTAGATGAGCTAACAAGAAAATAACTAGAAAATAAATTGCTACTGAATTCTATCATGATTAATGAAGAGATTGTGAAGTTATAAGATAATTAATTTTACACAACTATTTTTTTTTTTCATGGAAAAGTAAATAATAGAGCGGTTTTATACCATATTTAAGTATTTAAGTTATAAGTTTTAATTGTTTTAAATTAAAAGACTTATAATAAGTTTTACATTAGTTATCAGACACTGCAACATGTTTTTTTCAAATTTCAAGTGTAAATTAAATAGATGAGTAATGTTAGCCAGGCACATATTTCTTGACATACAGAATCAAAAACCCACTTCAAAGTTCTACCTAAAGTATATCATTTACATGAAACATATTATGAAATATCAAACCCAAGCTCATTAAAATTTTACAAACATTGTAAACAGTTTATATGATATAAAAAAAAAATTTCATATTGATCCTTAACAACATCAATAACAAAGATAAAAAGAGAACATGGAGTAGCAAAGTGATTTTAAAGTGTGTTATGAAACATAGAATTGTTATAAAGATAGCATATTAATATCTTGTGTACGTTTTTTTTTTTAATGAATCCGCTGATTGTATAATGTTAAGTTTTTGCAGAGATATACTTTATATATTTATATTGAGAAAGACTGAGCCGTTATTTCCATGTTTTATATTCTACCAATAAATTTTTTTAAATTTGAAAATAAACTATTCCGTATTGATATTTAGAGAAATGCAGCAAAATTGATAGCCAAAGAATAAAATATTTCATTCTAAACTGTTTTAAAAAGCTGTAATAGTAATTTATGAATGCTTAATGTTGTAAGTTAAATGATGGAAAAAGATTGGAATTTTTACCAGAGGTCTAAAGAATTAATTAAAATATCCTTAATTTATATTAAAATATAGTGAATTATTTGTGTTTTTGATTTTATGTGTTTGATAAATATATTTAATATAACAACATATCATTATCATTAAAATAGCATAACTTTGATATAAAATTAATTAAGAAAATGATTTTGTTTTAGTCAGTGATATTTTCAAATATAAAACCAAAAAACAGATCTATTCAAACCTTACACTTAAATACTCTAATCCTTTAAAATTTCAAAACGTTCATAAAAGCTTTCTAAAGTCAAACCTCTTATGTGAAACCACTTGATTTAATAAAAAAATCCTTCTAGATAAAACAAATATTTAAAAGTTTAAAATTTCTAATAATTTGAATTTAAATTTTGAAACTTTCAGTTGAGGAAGTGTGTTTTGGATTTTGAATCTAATTTTAAAAAATGTTATAACTTTTATGAATAAATATTGTAAACTCTTTATATGATTTATAAGAAAACTTTCCTACTGATACTAAACAGAGATAAAAAGAGAAATAATAAATAACAAAGATAAAAGGAGAAAATGAAATAATAAAGTAATTTTAAAGTGTTTTATTGAACATAAAGTTGTAATAAGGATGGCATATTTTTTTGATGAATCTGCTTATTGTTTTAAGTTAAGTTTTTGCATTAAAAAATTTATATATTTATTTTGAGAAAGACTTCTGCTATTATTTTCATATTTTAAATTCTTTTTTTTTTTTTTTTTTAACTTGAAAATATCGTACTTAGTATTGATATTTAAAAAATTGCAGCTAAATTGACGGCCAAAGAATAAGTTATTTAATTCTGAACTGTTTTTAGGAGAACATTGGAAATTTTAACAAAGGTCTAAAGAATTTTCCATATTATATAATAAAATAAAGTAAATTATTCATATATACTAAAACTAAAAGTAAAGAAATAAGAATAACGCTCAATGATACTATATAAACGAACAACTAAAAATTGTGCCACAAAACGTTTCAATTGCCTATTAAAGCATGAGAGAATGTTTCAACAAAACTTAAACTATCAACCATATAAACATTGAGATATTTATGAAAATGCATAACTTTTTAACGAATATATCTAATGTTAATTAATAATGATACTGGTTCGTTTGTATATATATATATATATATATATATATATATATATATATATATATATATATATATATATATATATATATATATATATATATATATATATATATATATATATATATATATATATATATATATATATATATATATATATATATATATATATATATATATATATATTGTTTTCAAGGGTATTTATCTAGACATACTTTTGCATTTGTCTAAAAAACAAGGTATTTTGTCTGTATTACTTCCATTGCATGGTAAACCTCCATTTTTTGGTACTGGATTTGTGCAGCTACGATACCTTGTTTTTACACCATTTTGACATGGTTGACTGCATAATGACCATGGAGTCCATTGTGTCCAACCACCATTCACTAGGAAAAAAATAAACTTTAAATTTCTGTTGAAAAAAAGAAGTTTTAGTATAAAATATTTTTATAATCAAATTTCGTTATTTAACTTGATTTAAAAACCTTACAAATAAAAACGTTAAAAAAAAACAAAAAACCTACCTTGACATATTTTATTATTTTCAAGGTATCGAACATTAATTCCAAAACAATCATAACCACCAGCATCTGGTGCAGGATTATTACAATACCTCTCCAGTCTAATAGAGCAATTACAAAATGAGTTTGAGCATGATTGATCAGTAGTCCAATGGCTCCAAACCCCATCAACTAAATAGTAATTTTAATTTTTTAATAAACTAATTGGAATATACAAAAAAAAAATAAGTTTAATATAGAAATTTTATGACATAACTGAACTATATGCTAAATGTTTTTAACAATTACAATAACAAACAAGGAATCATAATATTTTATGCTATTTATAATAAAATAACAACCAAAAAATGATAATATCAATTATATAATTATAATTTGATTTCAATTAAATTAAAATATGCTATACTTATTTTATTTTCAAATTAAATATATTACAATAATCAATTATTTTATTTCACTATTACCATAATAATTTAACATAAATAATTTAATGTGTGGATATTTTTACATTAACAAAAATAGACTTTGTATAACAATTTATTTGCATTTAAAGTTTTGTTAAAACAAACTCAAAATATATATATTTTTTTAATTCTCATACTAAGTATTTTAATAGATATATTTTGACAATTTTTTTTTTTTTTTTACTGACAACTTAAATGAATTTTTACTTAAAAATTAAAAACTCATTAAATTTACTTATTTTTCATAACTAAAAAATGAAATGGCACAATGAATTATAAATAAAGTTGTTAAATTGTTAAATTTCAAAAACAAACTAATGTAAAATATTATATTAAATAGAATTAAATGATTAAAAATATAACGGTTTGCATACACAATAAAATGCGTAATTAAACCGCTACTCAACAATTCACTTAACTTGTAGCAATCTATATCATTCACACCATGAAAAAAAAATTTACGTATTTGCAAAATATTTACCAAAGAATATTTGTTTTATATTAGAAATTTTTATGATCATTTATGTTTTTAGAAGGATGTTCTGGAGTTATTCTTCGCTATGCTGGAGAGTTAAAAATCATTTATAATAATGGTATTTATAATAAAAAGATATGCCATTTATGTAAAATTAAAATGATTTTATTTAAGGATGAAGGATCAGGAAAAACAATTTACAGAAATATTTTTTTTTTGAGATTATTAGGGTTAATAAGTTAATCAAATGTATTAATTTAAAGATGTTTAAAAATCAGAAACTAAGAAAACTTAAATTAGACCAAATTGGATTTAGGAAATAAATAAATAAGAATATACCACTGCAAAAGTGTTAAGTGTCAAATAATATATTTGTTCTAAACTGATTTTTGAGTATTTGTGTAAACATACTAAATACATACAATGTTAATTAATTTTATATTATTAATTTTAAGTATGTTTGATGTTTGATGATTTGCTAGATATAGTCAGGGATATAATACTGATTTAAAATTCTCTTTTTTGAATGAAATTTTTTTTTGAATGGTGCTGTTTACTAATGGAATAAAGCAAAAACAAACTTCTTTAAACAAAAATAAAAACAGTTATAATATAAAAACTGCCGTTAATTGACAAGCCCTCCCAGGAAAGGCGTGCGTTTTTTCGTCTTGTATGATCACACACGGATATCTTATTTTAGACAACTTAAACATGGCTGTTTGCAAGTTTTATAATAATCAATGCTGAAAAGGTTTCAAAAACAAACAAAAAAACAAAACTAACAAAATAAAAAGAGACTAAAATAGAAAAATAAAACAACACATTTTTAGTTTAAATTTTATGTGGACTGTTTTTATTTATGTTTTTTTAGATTGGTTGTTACATTCAGCTACAAAATTTCATAAAGCTGAGCAAAAAAAAAACAGTTTGAAGTCTACAAATAAAAAAAATGATTTTCTATTTCTTAACTTTTTTTTCAAGAGGATAACAAAAATAAATATTGCAATGTATTTGTAAAATATATTTGTATAACTTTAATGTAACAACGATAATAATGTAATAACAAGGGATGAATTAAGCGTATGCGAAACGCAAAATCTGGAAAAATATCTAGTATTCAAAACTTTAGTTTATACAAAACTGAGCTCTTTATTTTTAAGGGGCGAATCAACTTAAATTCGTAAGCGAAAAAATAAAACAATAAACTTACGATTACAAAAGTAATAACACTCTTGTCACTAACTGCATTACAAAAGTAATAACACTTTAATAGTGCTGTTACCTTTAAAACACACTTATGAATTTTAAAACTCCATCTTTTTTCAAGCAACATAAGTAATCCCAAATTTTAATTGAAGTAGAAAAATATCTAGAAGAATAAAGTGGATGTTCAAATAATATTTAAAACTTAAATAACTTATAAAAAGACAAACAACTTTATAAAAACGTAACGTATTAAAAGTTAACCATGATGGAAAACGTTATTAACCGTAAAAACGCTGTTAATTTTAAAATTTACTAATAAAATTTTTTATTGGTTGATTTTAAAATTAACGCGCGTTTCTACCTAACGTTTTTCATAATGCTATACTTTTTATAAAATACTCTTTTAAAATGTAGTTTAAGTAATCTGTATAAGTTCCTTAAATATCTATTAATATTTTAATATCCACTTTGTTTTTCCTAGATGCTTTTCTACTACAATATATGTTTGGAATTAATAATGTTGTTTGAACAAAGAATGAACTTTAAAAGTAATAAGTGTTTTATAAATGTAATATAACTATTATAGTTTTATTACTTTTATAATGTAGTTAGTGACTTAAGTTTTATTACATTTGTAGTCGTAAGTTTATTGTTTTTATTTATTTTTTTTTTAACTTTCTCGCTAGCAAACTTTTAATAATTTGCTCATTGTAAACAAAAGACACAGCTTTGCATGAACTAAAAATTTAAAGACCAGATATTTGACCAGAGTTTGCAAATCGCAATCGTATAATTCAACCCTTTTATGTATACTTGTTACATTATAATTATACAAATATATTTTACAAACAGATGATGATAAATATTTTCTCTTTCCTCGTTAATAGAAAAAATAAATAAAATATAGGAAAGTCATTTTTTAACGCTTAAAAAGTTTTTTTTTTTCTTTAACTTACTAAATTTTGTTACCGATAATAACAACCACTAAGAAAAAACAAAAACAAAAACAGCACGCAAATTATTTAAACTATTATTGTTGTTTTTTATTTATGTTTATTTTAAAATCTTATGTAATTTTTAAATTTAAAACTTTTTTTTGCAACGCATATAATAAAACTTGCGCAAACGGCCATGATCATGTTGTCTAAATTAAAAAACGTTTTCGTGGTCGTACGAGACGAAAAACCGCACGCCTTTTCTGGGAAGGCTTGAACGATAATCAAGAGTTGGTCCTTATTATTGCTGCTCATTTAAACTGTCTTAAGCAAGCAAAATAAAACAAAAACCAAATGATTAGCAAACCTTTCAGTCTGATATCCTTAATGTAAATCAAGTAATAACTTTTTTTTTAATTGCACATTTAAACTGCATGTCTTCTCTTAAATATCTATTCAGGCATGTCAAAACTTATGGTAATCTGGTCTTCAATTTTTCAAGATTAAATTAAGAACATGAACGTTTTAATGAAGAAACAAAAAATATAATTGAGAAGAATGAGAATTGCAGTTAAGCAAAATAAGATGTAAATGAGACCATAAAAATTGTAATAATGAAACATAAGATGTATTTGAGAATTATGAAAGTTGTAATTAAGAAAAGTTTATAAAATAAGTAATTAGAATAGGGTTCTTTGTCTTCTCAGACTTTGAGACTTAAATTACTTTGTAATTTAAAGCTGTAATAACCTCTGACCAAGCTGGCCAGGCTAAAATAAATAAGTTTTCAATAAATAAAAATAAATTAGCAATAAAATAAAAGTAATGAATAAGACTTTTGGCAAACGTTGGTAACTGAAAAAGTTCAATCTGATGTCAATCGAAACTGTCATTTTTTTAATTTCATGTTGTATTTTTCAGTTATATATTTCAATTTATAAACTACATGTCTTAATTGCATATACTGGCTTCTAAATTTCACTCTGTTTCTTAATTACTCTCGAGTTCCTAATAAACTTCCCCCTCCACCCGTTTAATAGGTTTTTAATATTTTTAATATTTCCCACCCACCCTAAGCTTATTAAGACCCCCCGTTTATTAACTTTTAATTGTTATCAACAAAAAAATTATATATCTCAATATTAAAAAAATAATAATCCAGTGAAAATCGGCCTTAAAAATTTAAAAATAATTTTCAGTCACCGATAAAAACAAAAACTTTCAGTGTAAACAGGTTTTACAAATTGTCGACCTATTAAATCTTGATTTGCTAAAAATGAATTTTTAGTTTATTTCACAACAAAGCTTTGGTTTTAATTATAGTATTTAATTTGCTGAAAATAAGTTTTATACTTTGCAAAGTATAAAGCTTATATCAGCATATTAAATCTTATTGAAATTATGATAAAACAGCCTAACCCTACCCTAACAGCCGTTAAAAAATGTGCTTTTGACCGCAAGTCGAATGCGCATTTGACTTGAACATGCTTAAATAGCTTTATGCATGCTTTGTAAAAAATGTTGGTGTGGATTTATAAATTAAAATATTTTATAAAAATATTTATATTGTAATATGGTGTCAGATAGCAAATTTTCAAAAAATGACCGAGATAAATACAGATTAGAAGAAAAAAATGCTTTAGGTAAACTTTGTAAAAATTACTAAAAAGAGTACAATTTATCGATTGCTGAAAACTTTCCAATAATTAACTTTAGTGAAAAAAGAAAGAAACACGTTAAAAAATTGCTACGCAAAGACTACCTTGCAAGAGCTGTAAAAGAGTTTTATTCGGACCTTAAAGATATTAAGCATGACAATCCAACCTTTAAAAAAGTCCTAAAATATGGGAAAAGATGTTTATACCAAGCTTAGGCAGATAATGATGCTGTAACTGCTCGTCAAAGCAAATTAAAGTATTGTCAAGCAGGAGGAGGACAAAAAATAACCATCTCAGACGTCCGCCAACTTTTATTGATGATATTGATTTTAAAATGATGATCTAAGAAAAGATGCTGTTATCATTGTTGAATAAGAAAAACTTTTATGTAATGCAAAAACATCTGCATAATTTATTCCACATTTTACAAGATTGAAACGGAGCTATATAACATTTCGGCGTACCATAAAAAGCCGTATTAAAAACAACTTTGAAGCCTTTGACAACGAACATTTAGAAAATGATGTGGAACACCGCGATGATTTAATCAGGAACGCTTTAGAGGCTATGTTTTAACGAAAAGATAATTTTTATATATTTTATTTAAAGTTAATAAATATTGATAATTAAACCTTTTTTAAAGTCGTTAATTTTCTTTTGGTAAATTATTTTTTACGTTACGGGGATTATATTCTTTCTCTGTTTACTTGAACTAGAGAAGGTTCCTTTTTTAAAAAAAATAAACCCGCACATTTATTTTGTAGATAAAATCCTCCTCCTACTATAAAACCAACACCACCTTTCCCCCACCTTTGTTTATTAAATTTCAGAAAAAATTTTCCCCCTTCCCCCGTTTATTAAAACCCCTTCTTTTATTAGATTTTGACTAAAATTCTCACCCACCCGTTTATTCCAACCCCCCGTTGTATTCAGTACTCGAGAGTACATTTAAATGTTTCTGAATAATTTGTTTCTTTTCTTAACAACATATTCCGATTTCAAGTTTCATATGTTGTGTTTATCAATTATTTATTACAATATTTTAATTACGTTTTTCAAGTTCTCAACTATATCTTTAAAAGATGTAGTGAGTAATATTTTTTATGTTCAGGGGTTTTATATCTCGTTTGGTGGTCTAGAGAAACAAATGGTATTTTATCCTGTTATTTTTTATCTGGTTTGGAGAACTGGTCTGGTGCTTCATATCTAGTCTGCACGTTAATTAATTATTAACTCTGATTGCTTGCTTTGTTTCATTTATGGTTTATTAAGTTTCTAACAATTTCATTAACATTAAAAGAATCATATAAAAAAACTACTTTGCGATAATTTTATTTCATAAAACAATTATAAGTTGCAAACCTGGACATTTTGTTTTCATGCAAGTTAGGCTACGGTAATGTTCTTGTTGCAATTCAATTGGTTCATTTAAAAAGCTATATTTATAACCAGATCCACATGTTTTACTACATTCACTCCATGTACTCCATTCTCCTAAATAAAGTGTTTATGTATTTATGTAGCATTTAAACAATATATTTCATTAAAAATTGAAAAAATAAAAAATAAAAAAACTAAAAAGCAATATAAGAATTTATGCTGGATAAAAAAGCCTTTTTTTTTATCAAAATAAATAGTTTTATTAAAAAACATGAACTAAAACTATTTGTATAAAAGTTTTGCTAAAAGTTAGAGTTTGAAAGTGTATTATCATTTGCATATGCTACCGTAGTAGGGGGTGAATATAAATAATTTAAGTAAAATAAGGTATTCAATAAATTTTTCAAAATTTAGTATAATGCTAAGTAAGCTTTGTTTAATAAAAAATTATTTTTTTAATAAACTTTGCTACCAAGTGTAAAGTTTTTTTGTTAAAATACAATACGCAGTATACTAAAATTAGTAATGTAAAATGAAAATAACCTTCTACAGGTTGTAAAATAACTTTGTACGGCTGTTCATAGATCATTTATAGATCAAACAAGAAATTATTTCAGCCACTATTCATACAATCAAATTTTACTAATCTCCCAAGGATTTAAATAAGAAAATAAATCTAATACTTGAAAGAAATAAAAACTTTTTTTGTCTTGCAACTTTTACACATTAGAAAAAATCATTTATTTTTAAATTAACTTCACTAGCAAAGTGATGTGTTTAACGGTTACATAATTTGAAAACTTTTTGAAAAACATTTTATATTTATATTTTTAATGAATCATCGAAAATTTTGACAAATAATCAAATAAAAGTGTTTTAACCATGTATCCTTTTAATTATTTGGTTAAGCATTGGCATTTTTGTGCTGTGATTTTTATTGAACTTGAAGCACTAATTAATTAATGGTTTGATCAAAGACACCACAAGAAAAAATATTTGGATGTTTTTATTTTTGTTGATTATATGAGAATCATTATTTGTTATATTGAGCACACAGTAAAATTATATTTGTACTCAATAAATGTTTTAATTGTTTTGTAAAAAAGCTAAGTTTGCATAGCACAACAATCTTTATGCAGTTTCTATTTTAAAATGCAGTTGACGAGGTTAGGTTTAACTCTTCAAAAGAAAATTTTTTTTTTACTTTTTTTTTACTTTCTAACTAATATTGTTTATTTAAAGCTATGTATACTATTTGTTTTTATTCATAAAAATTTCAAAGAATAAGTTTATCAAGAGGTACACATAGCTGTAGTTGCTTAGGAGTGTAAATGCATTGGTCTACTTAAATAAAAATAGAAATAATGGAGTGAAAACAAAGATTGACTAAGGGTTTAGGTTTGAGAAGACATACTTTTAACTAAAAGAAAATTACTTTATTATTTATTTAAATAGGGTTTAAAAGCTATTTTATTTGTAAATAAAGTGGAGAAAGTTCTTGAACATTCTAAGGCATTAAAGGTGGTTTCTTTTACTAATAGTTTTTAATTTTTATAATTGTAGTTATGTGTTAGGCGGTTTTTATAATATTGATTAAGTGGGTAGATATATTATATAAATGGATGTAAAACTTTTGTAAGATGAGTTGAATTCAAGTTAATAAATAAATTTTTGGAAAGAAAAGAAGTTTTGTTTCAACCAAGAAAACTACAAGCTAACCGGGCATGGATTCGAATATTAAATTATTGGATATATTTGAAACGTTTGATGGAACATTGGACGTTGCCTTTTGGATACAGCAAACTAAAGTGATTGCAGAAATGCAAAATGTAAAGCTGAATTCACTCTTTCCAAATCTTGTAAGAGGAACTGCTTATTTGGCATACGATGGTTTAAACGCTGAAAATAAGCAAAACGAAGAAGAAGTTGAGCGTATCTTGTTAGCAGCATTCTCTTTAGATACTTATACGGCATACAAACTTTTTGTTAAACAAAAATTAAATGTTGGAGAGAAAGTTGATGTGTTTTTGGCCGACTTAAAACAATTGGCTTATCTTGCTAAATTGTCAGAAGAGTCTATTCAATTAGCGTTTGTCGTTAGATTGCCCAAAGATTTATCATCTAGATTTCGAGCTGTTATAGATCTAATCAATGTTATGTTACCCAAAGTAAGACCTGCTTTGAATCGTGTATGCGTAGATGATGCTGCTGGTGCTGTTTTTCGAAATCAAGCCTCAAAAGTTTCGTTAGTGTGTTACAACTGCAAAAGTTTAAATCATATCGCGATAAATTGTCATTTTGCCTGGCTCCGAAAATTTTTTTTCGATGTTTTAAATGTGGGAATGAAGGTCACATGGCAGCAAAATGCTTAATGAAGCAGGGAGATGAGTGCGAGAGCAAAGAGTGTGCGTTACCTCGTTCCTGAACAATGGTAAAATTATCTCACTATCAATTATTCATTTAAAAGTTAATGGTTTGTTAGCAACAGCTATAGCAGACACGGTTTGTTTAAAGACAATTATACACCAAAAACGGTTGTCAAGAAAGCAACTTAAATTCCAGAATCCTCCAAAGGTAGTAACTTTTGGCGGTAAATTTCTTTAATGTAATGAATTAACGGCTGTCACTATTGAGTTTGATGGTATTCAAATACAAGACGAAGTTGTTTTAGTGGATTCTCAACCGTTTGGAGTTAATATGATGCTGAGAATGAGTTTCATTAAATTGATAGGAGGAGTTTTTATTTTCCCGTCTGGAATAGCAAAGTTTGGGTTCGGCTTGAGAAGAAGGATAAAGTCAATAAAATTGAAAACAAAAAGCAACATGATAAAGCAATATTTAATGGTGTCAAATGGGAAGTTAAATGGAAATGGAGAGATGGAAAAAGCCCCGACCAGTTGGTTAACAAAGTTGTCCAATGCAGCATACCAAAATATGCAAGAGCAGAATATGAAATTGAACTACGAGATTGGATCAACCGTAAATGGTTAAATGAATATGACAAAAATAAGATGAGACTACCCAAAGAGCAAATTTCCATATAGCTGCTATCCAACGAAATAAAGATAATAAAGTCAGACCCGTTTTGTACCCTAACCCTAACCCTGACGGAGAAAAGCTAACATTTTTATTGAAACGTATACAAGAGATGCAGATTAAGGTACAGTGAGTTTCATATGTTTTTAAAAAAAATACAATTAAAGCTTAGGCAAAGGTGTATTCTTATGTAAAATTAAATTTTGAGGTGGGTTTGCTATGGACAACTTTTTGGTTAGAAAACGTTTTCATACCCAAATTTACATATTTAGACATTATTAAAATGAAATATACTTAAATTATTATAAAGTAAATTTAATCCGGTTTTGTGTTTATTTCTCATAATAAGCGCAGTGCCAAATCATTTTTTAAAAAAATTCTTAGCTCTCCACCGTAAAAAAAATCTAAACAAGATCGTAGTCTGTAAATATTTTATTCGTTATATTATCAAGTTATTCATAAATGTCGACAGTTAAAATTAGATATTCATCCACCACTAGAATTTCTGAGTTTATTGGACCTGGAAAAGATTTTATTCTTTGTGAGCTGCCTACAAACAGAGTAGTTATTCAAAAAGGAATTTTATCAAATAAACAAAAAAGCATAACATGCAATTTACATCAAAATAAATATTCTAACAAAGATCTTGCTAGTGATCTAATTCCACTTGTTCTTGCTCAATGGAAAAAAGCAAATATTTTATTTCAACAACCAGTTATTATTGGGAGTACACTTTGGGAGAAAGTAGAAAACGTTGCATGGGGAAGAACTAAGGTAAAAGTAAAAGAAGAGCTTATGTTGAGGTTAAATAAACTAATGTACCTCATAACATGTCCTCACACAATACTTCTATGCGAGCATGATCTGTCTGAGTATTCTTCACCCAAAAATTTTAAAAATAAAGCACATATAACTTGCACTTGTATTTGTTCTAAAAAAATTCTGACTATGGAGCTCAGTTGGTTATACAGTCAAAGAAAAAAGACAGGTGAAAAGTCTGAAATGCAGATGGGGCATGCTGATAAGATTTAGACAATGAAATTAAGAAAAAAATGTAAAAGAAAAGTCAGCGATGAAAAAGCTTACAAAAAAAGAATTAAAAAAATAGAGGAACAAGCATTCTTCGAGGTAAATATAACTTCATAATATATATATATAGTGGCGGATTATCCATTAGGCTGAGTAGGCTAGAAGCCTAGAGGCCCGTCAGCCATAGGGGCCCGGTTCGGAAGATGATTGCAAATTTTTTTTACAGCAAATATCGATATAGGTATGTATCATGGATAAATGAATGTATCAGAACCAAATGTTATTTTTAAACTAAAAAATATTTTTTGTAGCCCAGTTATGCTGCCCAAATGTTTGTTGATTACTTTGTTTTAGTCAAAAATTTGCTTTATCAGAACCAAATGTTATTTTTAAACTAAAAAATCAATTTTGTAGCCCAGTTATGCTGCCCAAATGTTTGTTTTTACTCTGTCTTAGTCAAAATTTTGCTTTATCAGAACCAAATGTTATTTTTAAACTAAAAAATCAATTTTGTAGTCCAGTTATGCTGAGAATGGTATTCTTGAACAAATTGACACTACTGATGTCATTAGGTGTTTTGCAACACTGAAATAGGAAGCATACAGTAGATTCTTTAATATAAGATTTACCCATGAAAATACGACACACACTGTACAGTAAATTCTGTGAAATAGGACCATAGGGGGTAGGGTGTGGGTGGATGGAACAGAAAAGCATTGCGCGCATCTACGTGACTCATAAGTATTTTGTATGTATATTCAGAAACAATATTAATAAAACTTATAATATTGCTTGATTATATATATATATATATATATATATATATATATATATATATATATATATATATATATATATATATATATATATATATATATATATATATATATATATATATATATATATATATATATATATATATATATATATATATAATAATGCAGTATCTACATTGTATGTTTTTCGATTTCAGGTCATAATGGCATATCATCACAAGTCTGGGTTTCAAAAAGCTAAAGACCGTGAAGATAAAAAGAAACGTGAGGAAG